TTTATGATATTTGGTGTTGAATTTTGCAAAGATTGTTGTGGAAATTATGAGACGGTGAGTGCAGAAATTTGTGAAAATTTATGAAGTAAGAAATTCTGTGAAAATTTATGCTGCGTGAAATTTTGTGGGATTTTGATTGCAGAGTTTTGTAAAAATTTATGAAGTGCAAAGTTCTGTAAAAGGAATCTGAATCCTCGTACCGACCCTGGAATTTGAATTTGTAGAAATTGGAATACTTGTACCAACCTTGAAATATCATGAATGTGAAAAATTTATGAATATAATGTGAAAATATGTAGAAGAAATTGGAATCCTTGCACCGACCCTAGAATATCATGAATGCGAAAAATTTATGGATAGAATGCGAAAATATGTGGAAGGAATTGAAATCCTTGCACTGATCCTGGAACATCATGAGTACAAAAAATTTATGGATAGAATGTAGAAATATGTGGAAGGAATCGGAATCCTTGCACCGACCATGAAATATCATGAATGCAAAAATTTTATGAATAAGATGCGGAAATATATGGAATGAATCAAAATCCTTGCACGGACCATGAAATATCATGAATGTGAAAATTTTATGAATAAGATGCGGAAATATATGGAAGGAATCGGAATCCTTGCACCAATCTTAAAATATAGTGAATGCAAAAAATTTATGGATAGAATGTGAAAATATATGAAATGAATCGGAATTCTTGCACCGATCTTGGAATATCGTGAATGCAGAAAATTTATGGATACAATGTAGAAATATGTGGAAGTTGCAAATATATGAATTTGGGGGAAACATGTGGATGTTGCAAATATATAGATTTATGAGAAATGTGGATTGATGGAAATAAATGTGGATTTTACAAAATTTATGGGTGTTTGTGGAAAATTATGAAGCTTATAAAAATTGTTAAAAATAATGTCACGTTGAGAAAGAATGTCGAAGACTCACATCAATCCCAAGAGAAGAACAAAAGAATCAGATTAAGAAGGAATATCGGAGACTCACATCCAACTCCAAAGCTGATCAAAGAAATATCTATGTGAGAAGAGATCTTGTTCCATATTTGTAGAACCAGTCAAATCTCATACACATGGGACAAGGGCCTAAGAAGAGAGTGGCTCTATGTAGATAAACCCAGCTAACATCTACCACGCAAAACGTAGAACCCAGAACTTATGTGGAAATTTCATGATATTTGTAGCAATTTGTGAAATGTGTAGAAATTTATGACTATAGATTTTGAATTTGTGAGAACTTAATGAACAAAATAGACGTTATGAAATTTATGTTAATTTGTGGGAGTTTATGGAAAGTGTATGATTGTGGAAAATATTTGCAGGAAGGAATCAAACTGAGTAGGAATGTCAACGAACTCACATCCAACTCAAGAGCTGATCGAAGAAATATCTGTGTGAAAGAAGGTGCAGTTCCATATCAACTAAACTGCCAGCCCTCATTCATACCGGGCAAAAGACAAAGAAGAGTACGGTTTTATGTAGATAGAACCATCTATCCTCTCCCACACAAGGAAGAGGACACAGAGTTCCTGTGGAAGAAAACTTTGAACCGAGAGAGACGACGCTAGTGATAGATCGAGAAGTCTCAACCTGACCAAATCGAAATTTTAAGTTTGAAATTTTGATTTTGATTTTGATTTTGATTTTGATTTTATTTGATTATTTTTATTTTATTTGATTTGATGTTGAGTTTATTTTTTTGTTTTGGTTTGATGTGATTTTTGGTTAAATTCTGTGATTTTTCTTTTTTTGTTGGATTTTTTTAGGATTTAGACCAATTTTAGACAAGTGTGGCATTTGTATTTCTACGAATGAGGTTGTCTTTGAAACACCACGATGTGCGATATTTCTTGAGGTACCATCCATTGATTTGGAGCACATGTAAAAATAACTCATTCTTTAAAGTACTATCTGAATTATATTCTTTGAAATACGCATAAAGATGTGTTATTTCTAAGGACAGCGCGGCTCGAGAGATTGCCCCTTTTGTATCTTCATCTGCAGTGAATATCATTTTAACATCAACTTTGTAACAAATGTCTATATATGAACTATATTCTTTGAAATACACATAAAGATGTGTTATTTCTAAGGACAGCGCGGCTCGAGAGATTGCCACTTTTGTATCTTCATCTGCAGTGAATGTCATTTTAACATCAACTTTGTACCAATTGTCTATATTGTCTCAAAAATATTTTGAAGTTCATGAATTGAAATTTGAATTGTATTTTCTGGGCAAAAATGACATCAGGTATTTTCATTAATTGCTAATAACATAGCCCTTTCTTTAATTCCCCTCTTTCTAGGCCTACGCAGATTTCAAATCTTTGACCATGTGATTTAAATATTTTTTATCTTCCAAAAATATTTCTGATCTGATTAAGAGCATACCAAAAGACACAAGATCACTAATTTTTTTCTTAAATATAATCTCATAAGAATTTTCTTAAGAGAGTTTTTAAAGCTTTACTAATTAGAGAAGAATCAAGACAGTAATTTTTTATTACAAGCTCACCTCAAGCTTCTTCTCAGGGAGTCTCTTTTTTTTTTCTTTTTTGGAGCAAGCCTTTCATAACATTTTTTTTATCTTTTCTTTTCTTTTCCACTGAGAATTATGGTAGAGCATATTTTAAGAAATTTAAATATGTCTGAATTCAGACACCAATTTTTAATTTTATTTTCACCTCAACCTAAATTTTGAAATCTTAAAGACACCAATTTGAGTCATTCTCACTTAAACTCACTGATTTTAATCAAGAGACTTCTTAGGTGATTTTGATTTGTCTAAAATGTAATTAAATATAGGGGCTTACCTCTATGGGGAACTTAGAATCCAGGTAAAATAAACTGTCTAATTCTTATATTACATATGAGAATTGTCTCTCAAAAAATTTGCAGACCAACATAGAGTCATAAGCTTCTTAGTTTAAATGGTTAAGGAAGAAAAATTATTTTTGGACCCCAAGATTTCAAAGGAGTGAGAAGTAGGAGACGTCATAGATTCAGAAAGGAACCTCAATAACTTCTCAAACTAATAAATTTTGTCTCTTTATTTCCTTTTTTGGTGGAGTTGTAATGCGGAAGGAGGAACTCCTAGGACTATATGTATTTTCTTTATTTTTAGTGGGAATCCCCTTTCCCTCCAATATTTTGTAACCGCCTTTAGATATTAACGAATAAGGAGCCATGAGTAGCTTGTTTCCTATATATATATATATATATATATATAATGTTATCAATTAACTTAAATATCAAACCCATCCTTTAATATCACGGTCAAAAAATTGCACGTGAGACCTCCTTTCTTCCTCTTTTGCACTTGAGATCTGCTCCTCGCATGCACGAGGGCTCCTTCCTCTCTTCTTTTTCTGCTTGATGTTACTTATCTTCCTTTACATACAAAGGACTCAAATAAGGACGGGGTAGCGCGGGTAAGTGAAGGGGTTGGGTTAGAGTTGGGTTCGGGTAGGGCAATGTATTAAGGGGTCAGGATCGAGCTCGAATAAGGAGGGGAAGCTCAGTTTAAACAAAACAGGAAGGCAAAGGGAGATTGTGCATGGCTAGGAGTGGGTTTCTGTGAGGGCTAGAGCATAGAAGGTGATGAAAGTCGTGTGCACAAAGGAAGGGCTTGGGTGCGGCACTGTGCAAGGAAGGGCAGAGAAAAAATCGCAGGCCATGCGATCGTGTGTGAAGTACAGAGTGATTCGACTGCTTGGGAGGTGTGGCAGCGGCTCTGGTTGCTATGTTTTGCTCAAGAGAAAGGCCAAGAACGGCAGATGGTGGATGGCGGCTTTCGCCATAGGGGAATCAGAAGGACTTTGGTATAAGGCTTGGTGAAGAGGGGTGGGGCAGTTTTCAATCAGATCAAGAGAATCACATAAGAGGCAAAACAGGAAAAGGGTGGCAATTTTGCGAGGAGCTTTCGGCTTGCTTTGATCCCATTGTGTGTTGTGAAATAGGTGAAGGGGATTTGGCTACGTGTGGGTTATGAAAGACGAAGAAAAAAAAAGAGAAGGGTTGGGTCATGAGATTCATGCGTGACAGGAGAAGTAGAGGAAAGCTGGCAAGGGCTTTTGTGAGTGTTTTGTACGGTTTCGATTAGAGAAAAAGAAAAAGAGGCAGGGGACTTGTTTGTTTGTAATTGAGGAGTGGGAACGGTTACCAGACAGAGCGCACGCTTCAATAGCGGGAGCTGGTACGATTGGAATTATTTAATTTATTTAGTTATTTATTTGTCTCCCTCTTTTTATTTTTATTTTTTCTTTTCTTTTTTGTTACAGTCAACGGTCACGTTGGCAAATATTGGGCACACCAAGCAGGTGGGCATCATAAGGGTTATGTGCAGGAAGCCGCAAGAGGCGTGAGATGGTCTAGTAGGACACAGGCATAGGTGTTGGAGTACGTGCGAGGTAATTGGAAGGCTAGGGTCAATCGGTGAAAAGAGAGGTGGGTTAATCATAGAAGGAAGGGTAGCCAGGGTAGATTAACCCTTCTTAATATCAAATAAGAAAAGAAAGCTGTTTCTTGTATCTTGTTAACTAGAGAACTCCTCTATTAATAATGGATGAATGAGTAAAATATTCTGATGTACAAATAAATAGGCATACACATACACTACTTAATTTGATATTTATCTTACGCCAATAATAGCAAAAGCACTTTTTCCTGCACATGTTAGTTGAAAGCACACATAAAAAACAGCTGACCAAACATTTTGTTCCCAGTGAATGATTAACTTTCAAACTAATAGATTCAAGGATAAAATAGTGGCACGCAGAAAATGCCTAAAAGTTTTCTGGCAAACAAATGTTTTTACCATAAGACAATTATAGCAGTCACGCAACAAAAGAAGAGTTTTTAAGAATGCTGACTTGGAAATATAATATCTAACTTTCAATCTGGAACCAATAATGATAATAACATGCCATTAAGATTGGAACTACCATGCCAAAGTAACAATCTGAAAAAAATATACATACAGATTTTCCAACTCCAGTTTGTCCAGTAAGAAGAAGCACATTACCCCGGCTTCCCTGTAATTTGAGTGAAGAAAAACAATTTAAAGTACATAATGAATTACAAGAAATTAGCTGCACTTGGAAACAAATGGATTTGAACTGGATAGAGGATAAGTACATCAATTTAATCATGCCGAAAAAGTGTAAAGGTTAACTTTTTACCAAGAAAAAATAATGGCAGCCACAAACAGTGTTTGCAGATTGCAGATATGGATGCATATTTCTATACTGAGTGAATGTGTTTGTGCTACTGCCAGTCAATACAAATTATGGGGTTGATGGAGCAGTAAATGTAAATACCGCTGGTTGCCAATTAGTACGCAATTGTTATACATCTTATGTATAATGGATTCACATTGTTGCCAGCTAACAGAATTATACGTGTTAAAAGCACTTAATCCTCAAACAGAATGATGCTGGTAACAGATGAAAGCAAGACTCAACAGCTCCCACAAAATTTATCAAACTAATTCCGTGACAGCAAATAAAGGACTTAAATTTGATAGCATGAGAGCATCAAAAGCTTCAAACCACATCTACTGCCTTGCTTCAGTTATTTATAGAGTAAGAATATCCGTAAGCGTGGTTTTTGAGAATTGATAAAAAGAGTATTTTGCTTCAAGAATAACAATGACAACAACAATAACAACAAAGCCTTAATCCCACTACGTAAGGTCGGCTACATGAATCCTTTTTCTCCATTGCGTCCTATTTAGTGTCATATTTTCATTTAGTTCTAGTAAATTAAGATCATTTTTAATACAATAAGCTCAAGCCTTCCTAGGTCTACCTCTGCCTTTCTTAACACAAGTCGAATCTAAAACATCTACTCTCCTAATCGGATCATCATATGGTCGACGTTTAATGTCACCGAATCATCTAAGACGACTTTCTCTAATTTTGTCCGTCACAGGAGCTACACCAACCCTATCACGAATATATTCATTTCGCATTTTGTCTCTAAGTGGGCCCGAAGCATTCCTCCACTTCCACCAACCAACTTGAAGTCTACTATTAACATCCTCATCTATATCATCATCGCTTTGAACAACTGACCCAAGATATCTAAATTGTTTAAGGTTTCAGTCTAAGCGGTACTTTTCTATCACACAAAAGACCCGAAGCATTCCTCCACTTCAACCAACCAACTTGAATTCTACTATTAACATCCCCATCTATATCACCATCGCTTTGAACAACGGACCCAAGATATATAAATCGTTCACACCTTTTAATAATTTGATCATCCAAAGTCACACTTTTGTCACCAGAGCTACTACTACTAAACAATCCATGTAATCAGTTTTAGTTTTACTTAAACGAAGGCCTTTAGACTCCAATGTAGACCTCCATAATTCAAAACATTAGCCTTAAAAGGTAGTTGGATAAAGTTCAAATAAGGTCAATTATAAAGGTAATAATGTTAAACTAAATACAGATCAAACAAAATCCCGGAATATTATCAACTTAAAAAAAAAATCCTCCTAATATCTTCATTGTCTATCATCTCTAAACCAAATTATTGATTTCAGATTTTAAAATATTCATCATTAAAGATCACTGGCTTTACCCCAAGTGATTGTATGAAACCTTATCCAGTCATTCCTCCTAAGTTATCCATGAATGAATAAACCTATCCTGCACAATTCGCTCACACAATTGCTACCCATATTTTTTTTTATCAACACCTTTTATTCCTCGAAATCATTTAATAATAATTGTGATACCGGAGTTAACTCAAATAATAATAAGCAAATAAATATTATTGCTAGAAGAGTCAATTGGCAGTTGCAACCAACACATGAAAAAAAAAATAGCAATAGACACGGCACACAAACTGCAACTAGGGTGTACCGACAGTGGTGGTGGTGGTTGTGATGGCTATTAGGGGTCCGAAAAGGTGATGTCAAGATGGGGAGGTGGAGCAGGGTATAGGCTTCCCGAGACTATAGCAAGTGGATAAGTGGGTTGGGCGGCAGTGGAAAAACAATGATCTGAAGTGATGTTGGGCAGCTAGAACAGCCGCTAGGGAGCGGGGAGGGGGATCCCAGAATGCAAGGACAGCAGATGTAGCAAGGATGTGTAGGAGACCTGGGACAACAGTTAGGTGGCAAGGAAGTGATTTGAGAGGGCTGAAACAACAGCCAAACAGCAACGAACGGCTGTTCGGGGTAGCGGCGGAGAGGGTTATGATGGCGGCAGCGGCAGGGAATATGTGGGACTGAAGAATAGCAAAAGGAGGGTTGTTCCAGGGCTGCAGTAGCAAAGAGAATTGTTGGATAGCGAGGAAAAGCAGTAAGAACAAAAAAAGAGTTGTTGTCAAGGCTGCTGCCGCAAGGAGGAATGTGTGGTAACAAAGCATAAGGGATGCAGAGGAGTTGGGGAAGGATAAATATACCCTCGGAAATGAGATACAACCGAAGCACTACTCAACCATTGGAGGAGAATCCCCACCTCAGAACAAAATACAGTCGGAGCACCACTCGCTCTTGAATACAGCCCTAGAAGGTAAAACAGGAGACATCAGGTACTGTCCTGACAAAAATGCAATCCAAAATTGAAAACTTAGAACACGAAAAGCAAATATATAAGCCTAGGGTAAATAGAAGTGAATCTTAAAAGGATCAGCTGGACGGTTCAGATGCGGCAATTGTTGCACCCCGTGCTGAGATGTAATCCCACATCCACTTTGTAAGCGGGAAATGCTCCGCATCAAATTATATTTACATATTTCTTAATTTTGAATCTTCAAACCTTCATTTTATAGGTTCATACCACCACTTTATTGTCCACAATTTAATTTTTTAAAAAAATTATATTTCCATCACTCTCTAATACAAACATTTCTTAATCTAAGTTTTACAGTTTCGTCGCATAAATTTTTTTTTTGTACATTAAATTAAGCTATAAATAACTTCTTATCAACCAAGACTCAACTCCATAAAACACAATAGTCAAATTATAGTTTTACAAAATTTATAAAGTTCAATGATTTTCTCATATTAAATCTTCTCCCAAGAAACTTTTCCACTTTAAAAACACAATCTTAACTATAGAAGTTAGGTCATAATTTATCTCTTCAACCCAATACGAACATATCAAATATAGGTATCACTTTGATTTTTAGTTATATTAATTGATAATTACTATTATGACACAAATTATTTATCATATTCTCAATCATTATTCTGCTAATTCTGAGCCCATAATCTTCTATATACTTTATCATGGTTCACAGGCTCCATTTATTCTAATATAGTTCAGTGCCTATGTTTATGTCATCCGCAAGAGAATAGAGACCAATGACCTCACTTCAAGGTCCACCTTCCATACCCAAAATTCATTTTTTATTTGAAAAAATTTTCCTATACATAGCCATTTTTTCATCATGAAGGGTCAAATCAGTTTTTAAGAGAAACAAGAGTATATGTACATCTATACCAATGCATACATCCCAAAGAGATAAATTGATCAACAAAGAACTAGGTTGCCACGACATTGATTCTTAAAGGTAATGGTGTTAACATTATCTGAGTGTAAGTGTGTAACACACACATGCATTCAAAATAAGGGGAGAGATAAAGTCCATTTTCCTCATAACTAGATTACAGTATATACATAAAAACTAAGAACAATATCATCCGCCAGCATCACTGACATCAAGAAAATTGGAAGTATAGATGATTTCATGTGTTTTTATTATCATTTGATAATCTAACAGATGCATCCAAAACATACCAACAAATGTGATAATTTTTAAATATGATAAGAGCCATAAAAATGACTTGAACTTCAAAACATAGATTGTTCATGATACATCAACTATTTTGAATAATCCAAAACATATCAAATATTATGTTTTCCATGTGATCTTACATATATATATATATATATATATATATAGTCTATCA